AAAAAAAAAAAGAAAGAAAGAAAGAAAGAAAGAAAGAAAGAAAGAAAGAAAGAAAGAAAAGAAAAGAAAAGAAAAAGAAAGAAAGAAAAAAGTTCTAAATGCATTCAAATGAAACTTGGTGGATCTAGTGGATTAAAAATCCATGGTTATAATTTATATTTAAAATATTTTTCTAGTGACATCCAGAGGCTCCCAAAGTATTCTTTACCTTCCGATAATGCCAAGGAGTGGTAGTGTCCACAGGAAACTTGGATTATTTTTATGCCATCTGGAAATTTTATTTTCCTATAATGAAAAAGTCACAAAAGTCTGTTAAACCTTGTTTAGGAAGAATTAGCAAAGAAATTACAGACATTTAAAAGTATTCTAGATAATGCAACAGCTCTTAGAGAATAATTTTATCCTCTTGTGCTCCTGTAATACCGTTATCTCAAAGAGCCACACTGTTTTTTTTTTTCCTTCCTTCTTTTTGTGATTTTAACTACTGAGGGGAAGGGTTTCCCTCCCAGCCTCTAAGAACTCCAGATCATCTCTGTCCCCTTGTGAAGACAGGGGAGCATTTGGGGTTCCCCCACTTATTTTGCACCTTTTAGATCTCTTCATTAGGCCAGACAGACTATTCTTTCCCACACTGAGCCTGCTAATGCCACTCCCACTGTTATAATTTCCCTGGACAGTGAAGGAGGCAGCAGCAATCTCATTCATCCAGCCATATTCTTTGATCATGCATCACTAAGCGACAGAACATTGACTACCTAGGAGACTGCTGTCCACTCCTTCCTAATCGAATGTCTTCATTTCAAAGTACAGCACGCAGCCCAAGCCACATTCCATCAGTTGGTTTGTTTGGTTTGGTTTGGTGTAGTTTGGGTGTTTGGAGTCTTTAAGAAGAGGGGGGTGAGAAAAGGTCTCACATAGATCTAAATGGTTTCTGACTCCCTAAGCAACTGAGGATGACCTTGAACTCCTGTCTCTAGCTCTGTAAAGTCTCTAGCTCTGTAAAGGTCTATGTATCCTAGAGCTTCATTGGAAGAGTATGACATGTTCCATTAGGCTTTTTCATCATAATTTTATTCATTGAATATTTGGGAAACACATAGGATGTGGCGTGATGTGAGAGGCTCTGTTCTACTCAGATGCAAGGGAATCAAGTGAGATTTCTTTCGGAATTCTTGGTTTCGTGATAGTTTGTACTTAAAATGGTTGTTTTGATTTTTATTTACTGTAGGAGTCCAAGTGCATCCCCGTATGTATATTATAAGAAATGAAATTAGGACTCAGGAATCACATATCATTTCCCTCTGACTCTCTCCTTCATGGGCTCTAATTAAACAATGGGCTGTGCAAATGGTTTTCTGACCACTTCTCTTACCCTTGAGGCTAGGGATACCTTAGGCAAGGTCATCTTTGTGCCCTGATGCTTGAGTACCTGCCACGCAAAATTATTGGGGAAAGGAGTGAATTTAAATACTTACATAGGCATTAAGTTTATTTCCTTACATACTCCAATCCCCAGCTGCCCTTGCGAACCTGCTCCCCATGCAAAGACCCTTCCTTTGTGGCAGACAGCTATGGAGTGCTCCTTCCCACAGCTCACGAGGTCAACGTGCAGAGTAGCCAATGACTGGATTTGTTCTTTGGAAACAAAAATGAAGAGAAAACTCCCATAACTTATAAGCTTCTGGAGTTTAAGACCGTAATTGCCTTCAAAAAGCAAGACTTGCCGGGCGGTGGTGGCACACGCCTTTAATCCCAGCACTTGGGAGGCAGAGGCAGGTGGATCTCTGTGAGTTTGAGACCAGCCTGGTCTACAGGAGCTAGTTCCAGGACAGGCTCCAAACCACAGAGAAACCCTGTCTCGAAAAACAAAAAAAACAAAAAACAAAACAAAAAAAAAAAAAAAAAAAAGCAAGACTTTACTCTTTGACTCCTTCAATGTCTGTTAAACCAAAGTCTAGAGACCTTACTAAACACCCGGAGGAAACAACCCAATATGCTCATAGTACATATGGGGAAACACAGCGGTGTTATTCTGACTGCCTGGACACAACTTGGCTGGCAAGGCTTATCACCTTGAGTTCCTACATAAGCAAACCGAAACCCAGCTGTTAATGACGTCACAGCCCAGGGAAATGAAACTGAAACACGCCCAGCTAACCTCTACACAGAGAATAGCTGTCCAGTAACTTTAACCAGGCTCTGACCACTCTAACCAAGAGAATTATTTTGTCTTGCTCCCTTAAGCTCTGTATAAGTTTGTGGAAGTTTCTGTCTGGAATCTGCTCACTTCCCTCAGGGTGGCCTGAGCCCTTAGACTCTAGTGCTGGTCTTTTCATGAGTAACAAATGCTACCATTAATGCTTTAGGCTATTAATGTACATAGGTTATCTTTTTATTTCATTCTGCTTTTTCTGTTAGATTCTTTTTTGCAATACTAGGGTGAAACCCTAGGGCTCATTCATTTCTGGCAAGTGCTCTATCACTATTTCTTGATGGTTCCACAGAGTAAAGTCCCAGGCTCCTTTCTTTTGTTAAACAGAGTACACAAGTTCCTGAATCTAAGCACCTCTTTGGGTTTTATTTTCTTTCTGTGAATTCCCATGCAGACAAATTACTCTCTAGGTAAAAGATTGATAAAATTGAATGCTGTTTTTTTGCCTGTTGGTTTTTTTCCTGCTAAATTTGCAGCTTTCAGGAACTGCATCTAAAAGAACAGAGGGCTACCTCTGAATAATTTAGAATAATTTAGAATAATTTGAGTAACTGTGTATTCAAATTATTCTAAACACATAATCAAATATGGTCAAGGCCTGGGAATGTAATATAGCCCGATGGTGGAGTGGATGCTTAGCATATAAAATGACAAATAAACAAATCAAAAAACCCTAGAACTTTAGTTAGATCCATATTTATAAGACTATGAATCAGTATAATATATTTAAAACCCCAATAGATAAATATATTTTGGTAAAAACATAATTTGTTTAAATACAATACTTTACAACGACATGATTTTATAAGGATCAAATACATACACAGAAAATAAGACAAGCAGGATAAGACAATGCCCTGTTATTAGAGCTCTTGGTGTGATTACAGGTGGCTTCTTTTGAAAAATAATTTTTATTTATTTTTATGTGCGTGTAAGATACTGTGTGTTGGTGCCCACGGACATCAGATCCCCTGGAAGTGATTATAAACTGGCACATAGGTTCTAGGAACCTAACCCTTAAACACTGAGCGATCTCTCCAGACCCTACAGGTGGCTTTTTTTTTTTCCCTAGGTTCCTACAACAGCATTAATGCCCAAAAGTGATATTATACTTTTGTTTAAAATTCGGAGAAAAATGTTGCGGGGCATTGTTAAATTAGTTAGAGGTGTACAACCCACTCGGTCTGGAAGACAACCCCCTCCCCCTCCCCTGAAAGTCTGAAAAGTCAAGGGGGAGGGACCTTTTTTCTGTCTAGAGAAACGCAGCTCATCATTTCTCAAAGAAGAGGAACTGGAAACCGAAACAAATGCAAACTAACTCTAGAGTCCTGGGAAACAGAAACCGCTGACTTGAGAAGCTCAAAGGAGGGAAACCGGCTTCCAAGTATCCTTGGGGAAACCCGCTTCAAAGTATCCCTGGTCCAGAGACCGAGACATCCACATCCCGTCCCGTCCGGGCACCCGCTCCTGGGCTGGGTACTCACCTGGCCGTTCGTTATTCTGCTCTGTCTTCTGGCCCAGCTGGCCAAAGCTGTTGTCCCCACAGGAGTACACTCGGTGGTTGCTGAACAGTAGCAGAGAGTGGCGCTCCCCACTGGCTGCCTGCAAGAGCTCACCGCCATCTCCCGCCTTCAGGCGCCGAGGCTCGGGACAGTCCGCAGTCCAGCAGAAGTACATCTCTGCACAACCCAGCCACCTGTGACTCTGGCGCATCAACTGGGTCAAATGGGCTCCCAACTGCGAGTGACTGGGCTTCCTAACTCCTCCCAGGAGTGTTACTTTATCTCTGACGTCACGATTCTTTCATTCGTGTGAGTGTCCTCTTGCCTGGTGCCGCTAACCGCTTCCTCCACGCCCAGCGGGCTTCGCCCTGCAGGTCATCTTAAAACCTGGCTGCTTGAGTTTGAAGCGCTTGAGTAGCAGAGAAAACAGAGAAAAGGGAAGTATCTCCACCATAATCAAGCCACTTCTGAATCCTGCTCTCTGGACAAATTGCTAGGTTTGTGAGCTATTTATTAAGTGACAAATTCACAAGGTATAGAAATTTCAGTGGCAGCTGACATTCAGAAATTCCGCTTTCCTTGGCAACCCTGGCTAAGGTTCTTTTATTCCAGTCTTGATTATTAATTTTCAGATCACACATTAAACACCACAAGGTAAATCTATCTATAATATATAGACCATAGAGGGCATACAAGGGATTAAAGGGTAAGCAGTTTCCAAGAAGCCTAGAATGCCAGAGCTGGAAAACCTATTAGAATGCAATAATGAACCCCTGACTAAGCTCTAGGATTAAGCTGTTGTCCACCTGAGTCCAACTTTAGAGGCAAAATTGAGTCCAATTGCAAAGGCTGAGGGCAGGGTCCAACTACAGAGGAAGTAAAATTTTCATATCAAAATTGTACAAACCCAGCCCCTTTGGATATCAGTGGTGCGATTTCTCAGAAAATTAGGAAACAATCTTCCCAAAGACCCAGTAATACCACTTTGGGGTATATAACCAAAGAATGCTCAATCGTACCACAAGGACATGTGCTCAACTATGTTCATAGCAGCATTGTTTGTCATAGCCAGAACCTGGAAACAACCTAAATGCCCCCTCGACTGAAGAATGGATAAGGAAAATGTGGTACATTTACACAATGGAGTACTACACAGCAGAAAAAAATAACAACATCTTGAAATTTGCAGGCAAATGTATGGAGCTAGAAAACATCATTTTGAGTAAAGTAACCCAGACCCAGAAAGACAAATATCATATGTACTCACTCCTAAGTGGCTTTTAGACATAAAGCAAAGAAAATCAGCCTATAATTCACAGTCCCAAAGAACCTAGACAACAATGAGAACCCTAAAAGAGACATACAGGGATCTAATCTACATGGGAAGTAGAAAAAGACAAAATCTCCTGAGTAAACTGGGAGCTTGGGACCATGGGAAAGAATTGAAGGGGAGGAGAGAGGAAGGGAAGGGAGCAGAGAAAAATGTGGAGCTCAATAAGAATCAATAAAAAAGCCAAAAAATTAAAAATAAAAGAAATAGAGTTCAAAAGAAAGCCACATAAAGGTGAAAAATAAAATAAAACAAAACAAAACAAAATCGTACAAACCAAGTCAACAGAAAAAATAAAAGAGCCCCCAAAGAAGGCACTAAGATCAGAGACCCACCTACTCACTCACTCACTCGCCCACTCACTCACTCTCACTCACCCACTCACTCACTCACCTACTCACTCACACATTTGGGAGTCCTGTAAAAGCACCAGACTGAAAGCTATAGCGCATATGCAGAGGACCTGGTGCGGACCCAAGTAGGTTCTCATCGAGCTGCTCTGTGAGTTCAAGTGAATTTTGCTCAGTTGATTTAGAGGGTCTTGTGTCCTCCATCACCTCTGTCCCCCAACTCCTTCTGCCTTCTCTTCCAACATGATTCCAGTAGAGTTCTCTGAATTCTAAAGGGAGGAATTTAATGGAGATATCTTCTTTAGAGCTGTGTGTTCCAAGTTCTGTCTGTCTGTCTACCTGCCTACCTTCCTCCCTACCTTCTCTTTCTCCTTCTCCTCCTCCTCCTCCTCCTCCTCCTCCTCCTCCCCCCCCCCCCCCCCCCCCCCCCCCCCTCCCCCTCCTCCTCCTCCTCCTCCTCCTCCTCCTCCTCCTCCTCCTCCTCCTCCTCCTCCTCCTCCTCCTCCTCCTCTTTCCTTTCTCTCTGTCTCTCTCTCTGTCTCTCTCTGTTTCTCTCTCTCTCTGTCTCTCTCTCTCTCTGGCTGTGAGTCTCTGTGTCTGTTCCCATATGCTGCAGGATGAAGTCTTTCTGATGATGACTGAATAAGGCACTGACCTGAGTATAGCAGAATATCATTAAGAGTCATTTTATTGTTACCTTTTTTCTCTTTTTTTTTTCAAGGTAAGTAGCATTTGGTTTTAACCTAGGTCTCTGGGCTATCTAGATTCTGGTGCTTGGTCACCTAAGTAGTTTCAGGTATGGAGTAGGCCTTAAGTCAAATCAAACATCAATTTGTTGTTCCCACAAAATTTGTGCCACCATCCCCCTGGCATATTTTTCAGGCAGTACAGATTTGTGGCTGGCTTAGAGTTAATGCTTCTCTTTTGGTGGCCTTCAGAGTATGTTTCCATGTCATAGACACTAGAACATGGGGGTAGAGGTTTTATGTAGGCACCAGCTCGACCTCTCTATGTTCAATGAGTTGTGTGGGTTTTGGCTTCAGCAGTGAAGCCCCTGCTATCAGTTTGTTGAGGGCAACTTATAGTCTTGGCAACAACCTGGGTTGTTTGGGAATTTCATAGGGACCCTTTCAGCCAACAATTCAATTGGATGAAACTTAGTCCTGGACTGGAAGCTTCCTTTGGGGACAAGAGATGCCGCTTTGTGGTTCTGTCTCCCTTGTTATTTAGAAACTTCATTAGGATCACCTTTATATATTTTAGGAAGTTTCCACTGAACTAGGTTTTTATACTGCCCCTGAAATGCTTTTCAATTCTACTTGTCGCTTCCTTAGTTTCTCTGCTAAATCCCATCCCTCTTTCCCTTCCCACCAGGTCCTCCCATTCTCATACCCCCTCCAGACCACCCATAAGATCTAGTCTATTTCCCCATCCCAGGAAGATCCATGTGCCCCCCTCCCTAGTCCCTTCCTCTATGCCTAACCTCTCTAGGTATACAGATTATAGCTTGACTATCATTATTTAATGATTAATAATGAGATATAAGTAAATACATACCCTATTTATCTTTCTAGGTCTGGGTTACCTACTCAAGTTAATTTTTTTTTAATTCTGTTCATTTGTCTGAAAATTTCATGATGTTGCTTTTTAACAGTTGACTGATACTTCATTGTGTAAATGTACGACATTTTTATCCATTCTCTAATGAGGGACTTCTAGGTTGTTTCCAATTTCTAGCTATTATGAGTAGTAGAACAGCAACGAACATACCCGAGCAAGTGCCTCTGTGGTAGGATGGAGCATCCTTTGGGTATATGCCCAAGAGTATCTTGTATCTGTTGAGATTTGCTTTGTGGTCAGTTTTGGAAAATTTTCCATGAGGTGCAGAGAATAGGGTATATCCTTTTGTGTTTGGGAGAAATGTCTTGTAAATAACTGTTATGTCCATTTGGTTTATAACCTCTGTTAGCTCTAGCATTTCTCTGTTTAGTTTTTGTCTGGATGACTTGTCTATTGGTGAGAATGGGTTATTGAAGTCTCCCACTATGTATGAGAATGAGTAGCTGATTTAAGCTGTAGTAGTATTTCTTTTACAAATGTAGGTGCCCTTGTGTTTGGGGAATAAATGTTAAGAACTGCAGTATCCTCTTCGTGGATTTGTCTTTTTATATATAGTGACTTTCTTGTCTCTTCTGATTAGTTTTGAAGTCTATTTTGTTAGATATTAAAATGACCACACCAACTTGTTTCTTAGGTCCATTTTTTTGGAATACTTTTTCTAATACTTCCCCTGAGTTAATGTGTATCTTTGATGTCAGAGTGTGTTTCTTAGATGTAGCAAACGTTATGGAATATTATTTTAACTAGGAAAAGATGTGTTACATTTGCTTATGCAGCAGAATATTACTTTAACTGTGTGAAAGTATGTTACATCTGTTTCTGCTGCCTTTGTTAATGATGTAAACATGTGTTACATTTGTTTGTACTGCATTTAATTGTGTAAAGACATGTTGCATTTGTTTTGCCTTGCCTACCTAAGGCATCTGATTGGGTCTAATAAAAAGTTGAATAGTCAATATCTAGGCAGGAGAGGGATAGGCAGGGCTGGTGGGCAGAGGTAATATTTAGGAGGAGAAATCTAGGCTGGAAAGAGAAAAAGGGGGAGAGAATGAGGGAGAAAGAGACGGACATACCGAGACCAGAAATCAGGCCCAAAGGAAAGTCTGTTAAGCAAAAGAATAGGTCCTGGTTTTGCATCCATTATGTTTATCTGTGACTTTTTATTGGGGGAATTGAGTCTATTGATACTGAGAAATATCAGTGACCAATGATTATTGGTTCTTGTTGTTTTGGGTGATGGTGATACTGTTGGTGGTAATAAAGGTGTGTGTGTGTGTGTGTGTGTGTGTGTGTGTCTTTCCCTTATTTTGATTTGCAGGTCTGGGAATATTTATTTCCTGTGTTTTCATGGTTGAAGTTAACCTTAATTTGGAATTTTCAATCTAGCACCTTCTGTAGGTCTGGGTTTATAGATAGATACTGTTTAAAATTGATTTTATCATTGAATGTCTAATTTTATCCATCTGTGGTAATTGAAAGTTTTCCTGGATATAGTAGTCTGAACTAGAGTCTGTGATCTCTTTAAGTATTCTCAACATCTGGCCATGCTCTTCTGGATCTTAGAGTCTCCATTGAGAAATCAGGTGTAATTCTAATAGGTCTGCCTTTATATATTACTTGGTCTTTTCCCCTTGGAGTTTTTAATATTCTTTCTTTGTTCTGTATGCTTAGTGTTTTGATTATTATGTGGCAAGGGTACGTTTTTCTGGTCTAAATCTATTTAGTGTTCTGTGTAATTCTTGTACCTTTATAGCAATCTCCTTCTTTAGGTTAGAAAATTTTTCTTTTATAATCTTGTTGAAAACATTTTCTGGGCCTTTGCGCTGGGTTTCTTCTGCTTTCTTATTCCCATTATTCTTAGGTGTGGCTCTTTCATGGTATCCCAGATTATCTGCATGTTTTGTGTCTGGGATTTTTTTAGAT